CCTCGTRCTTTCCTCCCTGAATTCACCCACACAAACTGCATGAAAAGCACTGGCCTTGTTTATGTTATCACTATTCCCCATTTCTCTTTAATCCTATTAATAATTATCACATTTCTCCAATTAATCCTATCATGAAATTCTTCTGTAAAAATTCATAAACTACAGACATAGCCAGCAGCCACTTCAGATGCTGCAGTTGGAACAGTCCTAATCTAAACCATGTCCTCCTTTTGGTGAAAGGTACCACGGGCCTGGAAAACGCTACTCACGTCAAACACTTCTCTTTCTAAAGGCATCTGTCTTCAGACCTTGACCGAATTTCAGGGGTTTGCTTTTTGTACACTGTCCACAAACCATCCAACCTTAGTTGCATTAGACACATGGCTGAAGAACAAAGTGTAAGCCTCATTTCTGGTGACTCTTTGCTTTCAACTCTGTGCTACATTAAGCAAAAACTGTAATATGAAAACAAGGAAGCTTCTTGCTCTGCTCTGAAGCTGCTGAGACCAGTATCAGAAGGTAAGTCCTGCACAGAACTTCAGCAAGAACACCTGATTTCATAGACCTCTGCTGTGATTCAGGTTTAACTTGTATTTTGTATGAAATTACCGTAGTAGTTTGTGCCTCCCCCTCAGCCTGCAGTGGCCCACACGGCAAAGCCACCACAGCAGTCTGCCGACTGAGAGTCCCCAGCAATGAGAGCCCGAGAAAAAAGCACCCTGAGGCCTAAATTAATTCTAGCTTATAAAGGAAGTGCAAGCTTCAGTTCCTGGGCAAGAGCATCACTAATGTGGTTCTGTGGTTATTCTTCTACAGTAACTCTTGGCACAACAGCCAGGCAGCCCTGGGAGCTGCGATAGCAGCCCTGCCCTCCCAACAAAGCCGAGCACATAAAGGGTGGCCAGGCAGGAAGAGCCCAGCCGGGAGCGCAGCCCCGGCTTGGGAATCCATTTGCAGCCTACACTACAAAGCACTGTATCTTTTTGCAAATTACCTAAAATAACACACAAAATAACCAAATGCAAATGCCAAAAATAACACTACATTTTTGATGAAATTGGATTTAAACGTAGGAGTTAACTAGTTCAAAGTATTAACTCTGAATCTGAACACTTGAACGCTGCACTAATAAAATCAAATAAATGTCACCATTGCTGAGAATCTTTTAGCGGTTTCAAAGTTGCTATTATTTTTTATGTCTTACAGTAACAGCTTTTGCTTTAGACATTATAAAAGTTAAAGAGTAGCAAATTGTAACTTTGTAAAGGATTGCAATTTATAAAGATTAGTTGGGAGGAAAAAGACATAGAAAATACTTCTCTCAGCAAATCTGATTAAAATCATTCAAAAGACATTTCCACAACTGCCTTAATTGCCATATAGCTCTGGCTATTTTTTTCAGGACAGAATTCCCCAGACTGGAGGCAGGTGAAGCCACTCGTTTTCAGTGTCTGTTCCAGTTACTGCCTATGGTTAAAGCAGAGGAGTGTAGGGACCCGGGGGCCAGGGAGCTGAGGCGAATACGCCCCGGATTATGGAGCTACCATAGTCTCCTGGGAAACAGGAGCTGACGCGGATTTAGACACTTGGAGAAAAGACGAACTTTCAACATTTCCTTGAGGAAATTCCACATCARATCTGCTTCTTGATGTTTTTCAGTCCTACAGCTGTTCTCCAAAACAGTGTTTCACATGATCTGAAATAGAAACCTGGAATTCTCTCATCAACCTGCCTTGCCACTACACTATCCCAATGCCTCTAATATCCTCTCGTGATTTGTGTTCCTTTTCTATTTAAAAAACTTTCTTCTATGTTTCCATCTGACCTAAAAGGACATAAGATAGCCTCTTCTTTTCTTTTTTTTTTTTTTAAACTTAATTATCTTGATTTTATCTTGTTTGTTGATTTTCTAGTCTAGTGGCAAGCACCAGTGGTGACATCATAGCAGGAGGCAGCATCTATTCAAAAGAGCTCAGAGCCAGTAAAAATACATCCAAGAACACAGAAATAGTTCCTGTTATAATCACTTCTTGGCAAAGAAACACCAGCTTATATAAAAAGGTAATAGAAATAGTTACCACAGGCACATGTCGAGTACTGTAATGTTAATGGAAGTATTTCAACACCCTGGTTCATGTCTGCAAACTGTAAGCCTATATTCCAGGCAGGTCACATCTATCTTAAGCTGTAGCTCACTGAAAAATCTACTGATCTAGACCCCAGGCTTCAAGGATGGCAGAGGAAGCCACATTCCTTGTGAATTAAGTGTCAGGGAACTCTCCAAGGAAGTTTTGGATCAGAGTCAGGCAACAACAGTTGCACTGGAGGAAAAGAGGAAAGGAATCTGTGCAGTTTTCCTGGAAATGTAGCTGCAAACACCCAATGTTTTTGCATTTTCAGAGCTGCCACTTCTGCAAGAAAGCACCCTTTCCTATACTGGAAATAAGAATTCATCAAATTTAAGACAGCAAACACATTGTTCTGGTGGAAAAAACAGGAGTGATATTTTCCAAATTCATATGGACATGTCTGACAGATAATGTTCTTCACAGGAAGATGACAAATGTCCTTCAGCAATTAATTTGGGGGGAGGGAGGGCAAGGAAGGATGAGAAAAGGGGAAAATAGGAAATGGGCAAGAAGACTAAGGGCACGAAGAATGGCTAAGGAGCTAATTAGGAACACAGAAGACCCAATACATTTTTTTTGATTTGATAAAAGCTTCCTGTGACGCTGGATAAGTCACTTTTAATTCAGCTCCCTTTTATAAGAAAGGGATAATAGTAAGGCATTAAAGCTGGCATGAGCATAGCTAGATTACAGACTGAAAGGCATTTAAAGGCCGCAGTACTGAGGATCACACTGCACATTCGCAACAGGCAGGCAACAAAGTGTTCTGCGGTTGCACAGAATTGCACTGAAGAGAAGCACAAATCMGCACAAGGGGTGCAGGGTTTTGCTGAGGGATCCAGGAGCCACCCCCTGCAGAGGGTCTCTACCTCAAGCTCGCGAGCAGCAGACGCTACCCCGTGCAGAACCAGGTACCAGAGCCGGGCCATACAAATGGTTCACAGGACCAAGCAATTACTCTAACCAGGAGGAAATACAAAAAGTCAGTAGACTCTTACCAAGAAATAAGTGTACTGACATAATCAGCTGGTGTTTGTTTGATTGAATGTATATGTACATACACACGTACATAACTGTACACATAGCTGGATTAAACAGCTCTGATTCCACTATCTCAAATATTATGAGCTACTGATACTGTGTCACTAATGTCAACAGCTAAAAAACCTTCTGCTCTGTTCAGGATGGCAGTGATGGTCACTTCCAAGAGTATGTTCAAAGCTTTGACTCCTCATATTGCTTTACTCAAGATGTCTGGTACAATGACATGACAATGACATTAAGATAAGGACCCCTGAGAAATCTATCATTGCCAATATAATGCCACAAAAAACCAAAGCCAAAACCAAACCAAACAAAACAAACAAAAAAACACCACAAGTGGAGAAAATATTATTAGCAGCAATGAATGGGAAATATTTTTTCTGTTCCAGAAATACGATGACTACAGGATCTCCCAATTGAACCGGGATGTGCCAGACCTTCCCCTGTTTTTTAAAGTCCACCAAGTGAGGGGGACAGACGTGGCTCTCCCCAGGGTGACTGGGGCCAGACAGGCGTTTCCTGCACCCTGCACTGGGGCAGCACCTGTGGTTCACACAGGCTGTCTCTGGCTTGCAGCAACTTTCCTCATTAGGTCTTCACTACAGTAAGTTTTTTTGCCATTTGCATTAACGTTTTTTGATGATCTGACATTTTCCCACAAAAATGACTAAGTTATTATCAATCTATTTTTGAGAAACTGCAGATGGCTACAAGCTCTTTCTTTTTCTGCTTTAAAGAACATGAGTTCGATGGATTTGAGTATAAGCAAGTAAGATAGATGCAAGATATCTGCTTGTTTATTTAAAATTGCTTCAATATGCAAAGTTTAGGTTGGATCAAGTGTCAGTTACATAAATCTCCTCGTCTTCTATTTACAGATTTTAAGCATTTCTTTTAAAATACTTAGAGCTGTGTGAAACTGGCACACTTGGTTTAAATAGTTAAAATTAAGATATTAACACTAAAGAGAAAACAGATATTTGACAAAAATAAATTACTAAGTGGAGCCTACAGCATAAACAAAGTCTTAGAAATATGCACTATCAATGCTTGCAGACTTCCACTGCTTGGTACAGATTACAGTAATATGCAATAATCCAATTCGCTGAAAGGAAGGTTTGGAGTCTAAAACATCAATATTTCATACGTTCCCTTAGCTAACTTTGCCCTGTGCTCACAGAAGTGACTAGCTGAAGTGTAACCTACCCCAAAAAATATAATTACATTTTAAAGCAATAACATCAAAGAGTTACTACGTGACAACAGTGACGGCAGATAGTCATGCCTACCAATCGGGCTAGTGCCAGGCCCGTGTTAAGGTTCTGGATGGCTCCAGTTTTCTCTCCAGTGACTGAGTCTGCACCAGCAAGTCCCCAGCGAGCAGCATTTAAGGGGCTGACATGCCACATCTTGCCACCTGGAAGTGGAATGTACCATTCACCTGCAAATACGGACTGCTGAAAAACAGCTATGTTTAGTCTGAGATTACAGTCTAAAGGATGATTCTATAATCAGCGCAACAAAAGTCAAAATATTCCTGTTCTTAAAAATTCAAGTCCAAAGGTATCTGTTGTCTTAAATCACAATTCCACTTACATTGCACAAAGTTTGTCTTTAGTTAGTATTCTAAAACAATTTCTACACAAAAGAGCAAAAGACAAACATCATTAAAGAAACTCTGAGACACAGCACAGTCTGTGATCTTTCCAGGCACTGTTACGCAGCAACTGCACATTTGCAGTGGGAGGTTTTTAACCCTTAACCAAACAAAACCTCTATGCAAGTGAAGAGTCAGTCTCTGAAATTCAGCAATTCTTAACTGCTTACCTTTTTATGAGCAGGTCAAATTTTTGGAAGCAGTTCCTCAAACCAGCTCAAAAATCCCATGTTGGCTGCTGCATCACAGTAAACAGCTGCAAAACTTGTGGATTTACTTCCCCATTTTATATGCATGTTGAACCCCAGAAGAAATCTCACGCAGGGAAAAAAAACAACCCCAAAATCTGCAACAGAAGTATCTCAGTCCTTGAACAAAGCATAAGAAAGTTTAGCAGGGAAACGGAGAGGAAATCTAACCACAACTAAAAGTTTAGGTAAGAAAGAGGAAGGGCAAGCTTGTTCCCCTTGCCGGTAATTCCTGGCTAAAGGTGCCTCTAAAGCAGAATTCAGTGAGCCTCCAACTCCTCGGAGCAGATGGTATTCACACATTATTCCCCAACAGCAGCATTCCCATGTCCAATCAGGAGGCTGCACTCAAAAGCCAAGCGCTTCCCAGACTCTGTTACAGTTTTCAATAGCTACAGCCCAAGATGAATGACTCAGAAAATGAATAAGCAGGGAAAATAAACCCGCCTCTCCCCCAGTCAGAGGCAGACGCAGTTAGTTCAACAACACAGTGTGTTCTGGGCACTTCTTTCAAGTTGAATGCACCTGTTTTTTTCCCCTCAAATTCCAAATACTGATTACATTTTCCAAATCTTTTATTTGTGTTATCAATTTAATCTCGAGCTAGAAGTCACAGTAAGAATTAGATTGCTGCATTTTTTCCCCATCAGATAAGGCAATCTGCTCTTTCTTCTGGAAACATATAAACATTGAAAGGGTCAAAAAAGAGCTGTTCTGTATGTGTATTCTTCCAGACAAATAATTTCCAGTTAATTCAATGAAACTGCTCATGCATTTAGGGCTAAATACACACATAGATACCTTTAAGACTGAGAAATAAATTTAAATATCCTGTTGCAAATGTTATAAAAAGAAGAAAGGTTGACTCCCAAACAGGCTGGTATTTCCCCTGGTGTTGTAAAAAGTTTACCCAACTACAGTAGAAGGAATAGATCTAATCAAAAAGCCTACAGCTTCCCGGTGAGGCAGAACTGTTATCCCAAAGCCGGCCAGGCAGAACCAGTAAATATTCCCAATTGCTTCGCTTAGGTGTATACGGCTGCAGCCGACTCATCCCTGATCACTTTTACAGCTGCACAACTCAATGTCCGACTTCCTCTGACAAGTGAGAAGTAAAGGATAAGAAGCAGAGTTACTTGTGGAAACAGATTTGCACAGAGTTCTGGGGTTCCTCCCTGGATGATAATAGTGAGCTTTCCAAAACACACCAAAATTGTCTTTACTCTTAGAACAGAAGAGACTGCACGGAGATAACGCAGTGTTTAATGTTCCCATGCCTGCTCTTCCTACCTACAACACTTTTATTGCTGCCACTCAGAAAGTAACTGTGGGCTGGCTGAAAACCTACTCCAGCCAGACAAGTGAAATCAGTTAAATCAGTGAGGCTATTTGGGGTGAGAAGCTCCCTGGACATTCCCACATCTCTTTGTGGCCGTAAATTGATCCTTTGCATTCCTGCCTGACACATGACCTGTGAAAACTCTTCAGGGATACTCTCTCTGCCATGAGTAATGCTTTAATGGCATTACTTAAAAATATAAGACCAGTTGCAAGAATAATAAAATATCATGAACTTTGGTCTAACTTTTTCTATTATTCTTTTAAGACATGTAAGTATCCTTTTTTTTCCCTTTTGCAACAAATAAGCAAATTCTATTAGCATCCTATTTTCCTCCCTTCAAAACACCAAACATGATGATTCCTCCAGCCTGGACTAGGTGCAGGAGCCGTGCTCAGAGGTGCTGATCGCCTCTTTCAACTCCGGCCACGCAAAAGAACCCGCGACGTTCCGAGTCTCACACGCGCCCTGCAAAGCCCTTGCAGTATATGCAATACATGGGCAGTACGTAGGCCCAGCAGTAAGAAAACAAGACCATACCTAGAGCTGCATGGCACAGAACAGGGGTTTGTGCTATTGCATCTGCACAGATGCCTACCAAATTCCCAACTATCCCTAGAAAAGCATTTAGGTGTGTAAAAGGCAAAAACAAAACAAAAYAAAAATAGATTTGGTAGGAAAAAAACACTTCTTGAAATTTAATTTTGGCAGACACTTTTTGATAACTGGATTAAGCTCTGCAGCTGCCACAGTCATTGCCTACTGCCTGGCTTAGCATGGCCTCAGAGTCCTTATCAGCAGCATGGATGCTTTGCAATTAAGGCTTTTACGTGTGCTAGTTCCTTGGAGATGCTCAGAGGGAAGCACATCAAAATGTAAATATTATTACCATAATGCTCCACCTGACATGATAACCACGTTTATGCACCGAGAAATATCCTTGGCAAACATCCTAATCAAACACTATAAAGGACATTACAGAGAAGTATCTAAAGGTAAGCAGCTATTTATTTTCTATATCCCTAGTGTACATGACATTTTTAGATGTGGATGTAAAGCAGCAGCTCTTGTCAATCTTTCTTGACTGCAGTAGAATAGGGCTACTGTCCAAAAACTTAACCAGATGTGATTAGAACGCTTTCACTAAGAAAAAGCATGATTTTAAAAGCTGTTCTTTAATCAAAACAGGTTTTGCTCCTGTTGTAAGGGAGTACCATGAAACAGCACACTTTGCTAAATAATTTTGTTACTCTCACATGTCTAGGATAAATATTTCTAGCAATAATACACGCTTTGTTTCTTCAATCCAACAAGTTTTTTTTTTATAGACAGAAGCAAACAACATAGATGCTGGGTGAGGAAGGCAAAGAAGGAATCAATTTTTAATGATCTGTGTCACAGGCCACAGTACAGCACTGCTTAATCACCTAATGGTAGCTTAATATCTTTAATTGCGAACCTACTCATTACCATTTTTCTTCAATCCTGTAGACAATAACAGGAAATTAACTTTTAAATCTACCATCTCCAGAACCCCTCATTTTCCCATATCCACAAGTTATGGCACCCACGTTTTTAGGCCTAACAGTACCAGCTGCATTTATAAGAYACACGAAGTATGAGAAATACCAGAGTTCACCTATGTTTTGTTAACAGTCTTTGCAAGATGGTTGCTCCTTGGCAAAACATCCCCCTTTCTGACACATAAAAGAAACAAATCAGTCCTCCACCTCACAAGTCTTAAAGATTCAAGGCACAGTTGTTTTGGTTCCAGTCCTCTGTGGTCTAAAATCTGCATCTCTGATTCACACTCACTCCTCGTGTAGGTGGATATGAATCTACTGTATCCAATAGCTGGGATTTGGTCTCCAAGGCTATTCAACACATCCATTAAAAATATGGGGCCTTTAAAAGCTTAAAAACAAATACACAAAGAATTATTATTGGGACATACAAGAAAATAAACTCAGATGCGGTACCACTATTCACTATAAATTTATAAACAAATCTAGGCAATTAGAATATAAAATGAATGCACAACACGCAAGTACATTGTACCTGAGTCTTTGTACACAAACACAACATCATATAAATCCTCATCAGCTTGCAAAAAACTGCTGAGCTGTTACTCTGGTAGTTGTAAGCGGCCATAGTAAAAGGAGAAATCTGCAGCTCTAACATGTCATCCCTTTGAAATGGGTAATTTAGGCTTACGGTTTGGGAATCAGCACATTCTTCAGCACTTTTCTTCCAAGAAAACTTTTTTTTTTTTTTTTTGAAATAAACCTTTTCCAGCACATTAGAAAGAACACATCAAAAAGTCAGAACTGTGAACCATCATAGATAATAAACTTTCTTTATATTCCCATATTTTAGAAAACTGAAAGAAAATATTGGGGCTGACCTATSATGGTTTCTAGAAGCCTTAGGGGAGCCTATTTTTGTGAGCCCTCAGCCTAGGCAGCAATGCTGAAGGTAACATATGCAGAAATCTTACAGAAATTTCCATCTCTTTTCACAGACCTCAAAATGGATATCAACATATCAAGCTTGTGTTCAAAGTAGGGCAAAAACTACAGCTCAGTGCAGAATCAAAGTGGAAAAAAAAGCAATAACGAGTTCACCCACAATTTATGATTTTATTCCAGCAGTCTCATTAGTTCAGAAAAAAGGTCTGTACCAGGAAGTGAGACACACAGAGCTTCTCCTTCTTGCATGTTCCACTATGGTCCTTCTAACTCATTTCATACAGCTCTAAAAGCAAAAGAAAGGGCTGCAAGAGGCAAAGGGATTCTAAAAGATATTATTGCCACATATTCTTCAAAACAGTTGTTGCTGTTATTCATTATCTATCCATCTACTCATTAGGCAGGTAACAAGCAAACAAACACTGAACTAGATGGTAGTGAACTAGATGGTTAACCTGTACGGACTGTCAGGTACATAAAAAAAAAAAAAAGAAAGAAAAAAAAAATCATTCTGCCAGAAGAAAATGGACTTTGCTCTCATATTCTTGAAGGGGGGGGGAAAAAAAAAAAGTACAGAAATTACAAGTTACAGTCACTTCCCAAGGTATTCATATTTATCACATGACCGATGTAGTAAACACAACAGTTACCAGTGTGTTCATAGCAGCTCACTAGCTGCTTGATAATAAAAGGTTTCAAGAATGTTTCAGGAATGACAGCTACCAGAAAAATTTCTCAAAGAAGGAAATTTTCCTTCCCATCGCTGTGCTGGCACATTTTTGAGGACTTTCTATTTACTGAATTCATGCCGAAGTAATATCATAATAACAGATGAATTCATAACTCCTCTGTATTTCTCCTGYAGCACCAGCAGCACAACATCTTATGCAACCGACCTCCTGAGCAATAAATTGCTTAACCCATTTGTTTTATCCTGGGATGGCTGAATCAAAGTATTTAAAAAAAATCTAAAAGAAAGGCAGGGATTTACATAGAAGGAGAACCGATAAAGGTTCTTCTCTAGCACTTGACACCATGAGTGCTTATTTATCTCTAATTATCCAATTTATGAATATTTTCAGTGCATGCTCCCTATTCAAATACTCTGCAGAAAGACAACCTAAAATTTAAGTGTTCATAGGGAGAACAACAAAAGGATTGGGTACCTTTAAATGCCATATTAAATTTAGTGAAACATTGTAGCACATCTGAGAAACCAAAGTTATACTTGTATTTCCCACCAAATCAAAACTTCCTCTCTGTGATTCCTAAAGGTCAGGCCCAGTGTTAGGATAAGCAAGAATACTCATTTATATCTTCATTAACATCAGCTCACATACATAAGCACTTCTCTGATAATCCTAAAGCTTCCTGTTATAAAAAAGGATTCAGTTCTATGCCCCAATAGTCTAAGGGCAGATGTAAGGCATTAAAGACAGATAC